ACCATCAAAGCACCTTCCACTCTCCCATTGCCCCTCCATTTGTAAACTACTACCCCACCACTGTTACCAACAGTCACACACACCCGCTTTCTCTACCCCCACAGTGCACTAAGCATTTTATATGCATTTTCTCATTTCCGCCAACAACGCTATGAAGACACAGTACAAGTATTTGTGTCCATTTTACAGATGAGTAGACTGAGGCACTGGGAGGTGAGGGTCATGCAGCTGGTAAAGGCAGAATCAGATTTAAATAAACCCTAGCAGCTGGAGATCTTGGTGGAAACTTCTTTTTTCCAGTCCAGGCCAACTCTGGCCTTTAATCCAACATGATTTCACTTCCATTAAACACTGGGAGGCCCCATCAGAGTGACCCAAGGCCCTAGGGTGATTCTGGAGACCAAGGAAAGGACAGGAAGCCCAGGCAATTGTGGGCACGGGGGGAGCAGAGTTGGGGAAGGCTGCCTGGGTGGGGTCACAGAGGTGACAGCTTGGTGGCTACAGTGAGTTCTGGGAGGAGTGGGGGGCCACTGTGTAGCTAGAAATAAGCTTTTCAGAGACCATCCCTGCGGCTGTCGGGGTAGAGCTCCCCAAACCTCACTGCATCTCCCTCTGCATGGGTGATAGTGGACAGCTCTCTTCTCCTTGTGAAAACAGGTGTCACCAGCTGGGATGAAGCTGCGGCTTCCCTTCATCTCCTTCCAAATCGCTTTCTCCAGGAGGCGGAGAGTGGAGGAGACAAATCACAGCGGCAAGGAGTGCCTCTGCAGAAAGCAAACCATCTCCTGGGTTTCTCTACATTTTCCCTGAGTGGTGATGGGGTGAGGGGACAGGCGAGGTGGTGGGTGGCACGAGCCACATTTAAAAACTATTTCCTTTCCTCCAAATCTTTCGGATTTTCAGCCGGGAGAATTGTTTCCTTAATTACATTCGACTTCCGGCACATTACTGGCTGAAGTTTGGGTGACGTTCAGTTTAGTAAAGTGATAAACACAGTGCGTCCATCTGGGTGTGTGTGCACATATATATGTGTATATTTATGAATACATGAAATTTCCTTCCACCCTGCCTCTGTTTCCTCATTTAGTGGGAAATAAAGGGATTGCTGGGCTGAAGCTCAAATCCATCCTAAGTGTAGGGAAATCCGGGTGTCATGGTTTCCAGAAAGGGAACACAATCTCCGTATGGGGTGTAATTACATCTTAGCTTTCTGCAGAAGAATAGTTTATGGCTTAAATGCTATTAATTGTAAGCCGTTTTGTTCCACGGGAAGTTGTTCATTGATAACTACCCAATTAGGGTTATTTTGCAATTAGTCTATTCACAGTAAATTTATTGCAAAAGGGGGAGGCTGTGGTGCAGCCAATTAAAGCATTGCCGGGGCTGGGTATGCAATGGTTCTTAAACACTGATCTTATTAACCAGCTTGGAGGTCCTGGGGGTGGGGTGGGGGGTGTACCACCTTGGCCGATGCAGCAAAGGTCTCAGGGCAACCCCAGAAAACTCATGCTGCAAAACCATGCTGGAGATGTCTCTGCATGACCAGGAGAAGCAATGGAACTCGTGATCTAAGGTGGTGAGATTCTGATTTATCTGAACAGTTGTGGAGCAGGTCACATAGCAAATACACTTGTATATGTAATGTATGTTATTGACCAGGAACAGATCTTAACTGTGTATTCAGCCCTTATAAATCTTCTGAGATAGGTGTGATCATGCTCACCTCTTCTTTACAGATGGAGAAACAGAGGCACAGAGAGGTTAAGCAACTTGCTCAAAGTCTCATAACTTGTGCAGGGATTTCCAGAATTTGAATCCAGGTAGTCTGGCTCCACAGCCATGCTCTAAACTACTGTCGACATCAACCCTGTTGTTCTCTCACTAACACTGTCCCTTCTCCCTTGCAACAGAGAGACACAGCCTACAGGCATCAGGACATCTCTGGGGCTTAACAATCTGCGCTAAAGTGAAGCCTTTTGTCTCTGAAGAGGGACAGGCTTAAGGGAAAGGACGCTGCCTCTGTAACCTGAGTGACAACACCAGTTCTGCCATCTACTAGCCATGTGCCTCTGGCCAGGTCCTAAACATATTCTTTGAGCCTCAATGTCCTCATCAACAAAATGGATTCATAACAGACTTACCTCATAGGGCTGGCATGAGGGTTCAGTGTGATAAAAACACAAACAGTACTGTACATACTAGTATACAGTATTGGTATTTAGCAGGAATAAGAAAGCTGCAGCTCACAGGCCAAATCTGACCCATGGCCTATTTTTGTAAATTAAGTTTTCCTGGAACATAACCAAGCGCATTTGTGTGTATCGTCTACGACTGCTTTTGTGCTACAGCAGCAGAGTTGAGTAGCTGTGACAGAGATCGCATGGCCTGCAAAGCCTCAAACATGGAGACTATCCAGCCCTCTGCAGAACCAGTGTACCTCCCCTGGTACATAGCAGGAGCTCAGTGTTATTTTTGTGGAAGGGCATTCAACTCTGGCTCTAAAACTTCTCTGCCAGGCACTGGTTAACAAAAGATTTTGGAACAATGCACTTCATTATTCCTACCCTCTATGTGCCAAGTCCAACCAAGAATAGAGACAGGAACCACCTGGACCCCTCAGACAAGGGTGGAACTGCAAGGGAGAAACAAAGTTTTTCATTTTCACTCTTTCTATTTAAAAGAAAGTATCACATAAATACACATTTGCTACAAAAGCTCAAAAAATAGAGATGAACTTGAGTAAAAGGTTAGAGGTGTCACCACTGCCACCCTGTCCCCACAGAGGGGCCACAGGAAGGGTCTGCTGTGCATCCTTCCAGCCCCCTTTCTATGCACATAGTGCAGGTGGTCACCCTCCACCTGATCCAAACTCTCCATTCTGTGACCAGTAGTGAACACACAGGCATTTATTTGGAATAACGAAGCCTCTATTGAACTGGGTGACCTTGCCTATGGCCCTCTATGGGCCTCATAATCTCATCGTCAGTGAACCAATTGAATGAAGATTTCTCTAAGGGGCCTTTCCAGTCTGCCTTTCCTTGGGAGCCATTCTCACTATGCACCTCCCTTCTGCATCAAGAGAGACAGGAGAATTGAGGATCTGCTGTTTTAGGAGGCCACTTGGCAAAGCCTTGTTGGCTCACGAATGCACCTGCATGGGGGGACTGAACCCCACCCTCACTCTGCAGTTGGCTTACTTGATCCTCTGACCTTCTGTCTTGACATTGAGGAGGATCCAGCACCTCAGTGGGCCCATTCTTGCCCCCTGTGTTGGCTCTGACACCACATCCCACCTTCATGCAGGTCTTTGTACGTGTCTCCCCCACTCAAGCCCCCAGAGCTCTGGGTTGTCTCACAGTTGACCTCAGTGATAATCTGGGGTCTTTTCTTCCTATATTGGAGTGAACAAAAGCAGTTGCTAGTATTTGAATTTAGAAGCAACAAGGAAGTACTGTGAACCATCGGCCACTTCGTGAGGGACAGTGGGGTGCAACTGGCACTGTGATGCAGTGAGAATGAGGGGTGACCACAAGCAAAGTGTGAAGCAGCCCCCAAGGAAAAGCAGCAGGAAGACCTCTCAGACATTTACTGCAGATAAGGATGCCAGGACCAGAGAGGGGAGAGGACTCTATTAGTTAGCAGCTGAACTTGAACTGTAATACACCTCTCTTCATCCCAAGTGTGTGCACCTACTGGCACCAGCTCTCTCTTCATTGTAGAAACGTGCGTTCGGATGCCATCTGCCCTCTCCATGGACAAAACCACTGGACAAACGAATTCACAAACTGTTTGAGAAGTAAGGTCCTCTCCAAGGAAAAATAAAATTTAAAAAGGTTCCCAGAGACTGGCTTACGGTGATCTAGTGGGGTGGGGGGAGTGAGGGGAACACATATGAAATGACAGTGACCACGAGCTGAGGACGTAGCTGGATGATGGGTACATGAGGATTTGAAATTTCCTGCCATAATGTTTATTTTAAAGGAGGGAAGGAGGGATCTTGAGCATATAAGACTTAACCCAGGCTGTCTCAGGATGTCTTAACTTGTCAGCTTGTAAAGTCATGAACAAGCCATGTGACCTTGAGGAAGTGATTTTATCTCTCTCATCTGAAAAAAAGTAAGGTCCGTGACATCAGGGCCAGTCTCATAGGGTGGTGGAGGAGACGGATGCACAGGGCCTCCTGTAGTGCCTGGCATGCAGTGGGCGCTCAATAAATGCCTGCTGCTGCTGCTACCCCTTCCACAGACACTGGAGCAGTAATTGTCACCACCACAAAATGCACGTCAATGGCATGGTTTCAGATGCAGAGACCCATGCATGATACCCCACCTGTGCAAAATTGGTGAGGGCCCCTCCACTTCTGAGGGCCCCTCCACTCTGCCTGTGAATCCCTCTGTTGGAGCTCTGATCTCTCCCTGCATCTCAGCAAGAGATCCGATTTCTCACTGCGTCATTGGCACATAGAAAAGTTTCCAGCACAGGGGCAGGAGGGAAGGAGGCAGGAAGGAAATAAAAACGAAGGAGGGAGGGGAGGAAGGAAGGAAGGAAAGAATTTCAGATGGAGGAAGATGAAAAGGTTGTTTTTGCAGTCTTCAAAGTCAATGCAACTAATTGGAAACCTTTCAAATCACGCTCAATTACATGATATTCATGTCAATTGTAATCCCAATATTCTGCTGAGAGAGAAACCAAACCTTATCAATACGGCCACCTCGCCTCCTGTAATTTTTACATTGGCCCTGATTTCACTGTATTTTATCCTTTGCTGTAAAGGCAATGGGTTAAAGCACTAACGAAAGGTAATTTGATTTTGTAAAACCTCTCTTATACAAGACTTCAGAATTCAGGCAGTACCAAACGAATCAGATCTTGTGTCTGGTGCAGAGTTTGAAAAATAGGTCAGCCATTCCCAGAAGGTCTGGGATGTGAGAGGAATGGGGCTGGGCAAGAGAAGGAAGTGACCAGAGGACACCTCTCCCCACCTCGGGCCTGGAACTTACCTTCAAGGGGGCAGAACCGAGTCACCTTCTCGGGCATCAGCAGCCCCAGCTTGTGACGGCAGTAGGTCTCCCCAATCTCCTGGCGGCAGTGCTTGGACTTCGAGCGGGACAAGGCGGAGATGGCCTCCTTGCCTGAGATGTCACACTTGAGGGGTTGGTCATACTTGCTCTCAGGGGAGCTGCCCCCACTTTTCCTGGCATGGGGCTGTCTGGGGGCATCTTTCCTGTGGCTGCTGTTGGCTGCGGCTCTCTCACTGGGAGGCAGCACCTCGTTGGTGCCTTTCCCCAGGAACGAATGCCCTTTCCCTTTCTCTTGCTGCTCCAGCTTCCTTTTCAAAAGCTCCTTCTGTCTACTGGGGGGCTTCTTTGCCAACTCAGGCTGGTGCTTCTGCTTTTGAGTCCTGGGTGCAAAGTTGCTGTTGTCGACATTCTCAAAATCTTTGGGGACTGAGTTCTCATTGTTGCTGTCTGTTCGCACTTTCTCTTTCGGCCGGTGGGAGAAATAGCCATCCTGGAGAAGATGGGAAAGAAACACAGCAGAAAAACTTTACTGAGCGATCACGCTAAGTAGGTTGGTCCCTGAAGAATGGTACATACAGTTTGGAAGTCTGTGCCGTAGTTTCACATCTTACCCTTGCTACTGGCTTGAACCCTAGTGAGCCTTTTCTATCTGGACCTCAGTTTCTCTCTCTGGACCTCAGTTTCCCCATGTGGAAATATGAAACATTCCAACTAAAAACTAAGTCTTTTTCAAGCTCTAAAATGCTATGACTATGATGCTCAATGCTTATTATTAACCATATCTTTTCAAGTATGTTTCTTTCCTTGACTTTCTCTGCCACTGGGTAACAAACATTTTGTTCTAGCTTCCTGTTTAAATTCCAGCAGAAAGTACTGTGATGGTTTATTTAAAGTCTGGGAGTGATATAATAAAGTTATAAAGAGAGAAAATATTGGTAGAATATTATATACATTCCACTGCCTTTAGGATATGCTCACATATCTATGCTCATAAGAGAAATCAGACCAAGCCATTGTTAATTCCGAAGGAAAGACATCATTGGGATTTCGGGGGGAGTGGGAGGGGAAGGCAGCCTTTGCAGAAGAATGAGTCCCAAGAGGGGTGCAAACTTATGACATTCTTGTGCCTGAGCTTTGAATCTTGATGTTTGTATCTGTAGCAGCACTGATTAAGTCATCTGAGGTCAAGGAAAAGGTCAAAAGTCATTCTGGAAATAATGCATGGCATGAATCTTTCTAGAAGGTCAGCACCCCAAACTCAGCTCCTCCACAGGTAGGTGGGTCCTGGTCATTTTGAGTGCGCATCAAATGTGCCATTCGACTAACCCCGTGAATTGTTTCTGAAATATGCTGCTTCTGCTTAGAGACTGTTACCAAGCCCTTAACCTAAAGGAGCATCCACTGTCCCAGAGCACACCCCTCTGAAGGGACCTCTGAAACAGCAGAGAGCACTAATTGGCTCCATAAATCTGCCCCTGTTGCTATAGAAACACATTGGCTAAGAGTAGCATCCTCATTAGTTTCTCCTTTTTAAGAAGGGCTGAAATGTACCTTCTAATAGCTCCTCCCCCAAAAGGATGGCAGTGTGCTGGCCAGTTAGCTCAGTTGTTCAGAGCGCACTGTTGTAACACCAAGGCCAAGGATTTGGATCCCCATACTGGCCAGCTCCACCCCTCAAAAAAAAAAAAAATAGGATGGCGGGGCCTGACCAGTGGAGTTGTGCTGGTGCCCGAGAGCAGCTGACACCCAGCAAGGCTCCCACTCCAGCAGGTCAACACACTATAGCCTGTGGGCCAAATCTGGCCCTCCACCTGTTTTTGTAAATAAAATTTTATTGAAACACCTGTTGGTTTGTGTATTGTCAATGGCTGCTTTTTTGCTCCAACAGAAGAGTGAGTAATTGCAATAGAGACTATCTGACCCACAAAGCCTAAAATCTTTCTCTCTGGCCATTTAAGTAAAAGTATGAAGAACCCCTGCTCAATAGGAGTATGAGTTTAAAAGGCTCCCCTCCTCTGGAATCAGTTCAGTTGCCCCTGTCCTCGCTATCCCCATGTGGCTCAGCAGTGGTCTGGAGAAGTCATATATGGCTGTCTGCTTCTGGCCTTTGTCCCACCTCCCCTAGCATGAAGCACCAATTTCTCCTACTTGGTATAGGCTGTGAGAATGAGAGTTGATACTAAGATACCTCACGGACACTCTTTTAGTTGGGTGCTGCTATTATTCTCATTTGACAGATGGAGGACCTCAGCATCGGTTAACAAGTGACTTGCCCAAGGTAACCCAGCTAGTTGGTGGTAGAGCTGGGATTTAAGCCAAACAGACCATAGACCACCATCCTCTGGGCTGCTGGTTATACTACTTGCTTCCAAGAAGCTTTCGAGCACTTTTTACCCCTGTCGCCTTCTCTCCTTAATCACTGCAGCCTGGCTTTGTACCATAAGAACTGGCCCCCTTCCCATCTACTCCCACCCCACTAAACAGATCTGCTATAGGCATGTGACCTCCAAATAGTCATCTCAAGGCTGGCCAGTGGCCCATCGTGTTGCAGGGAGTCACAGACAAAGCACTAGGAGTTTGAGGTGGCAGAAGCCGGGAGGCAACGGGGTGGGAAGAAGGAAATAGAGAGACCTGAGATGGGAGAGCTGAGTCCATGCTGGGTCACAGAGCTGCTGCTGGTCATTACAATCTGATCCATGTACAAGGGATCTTCTGGGTCTGGTATTTCCTACCTCTGCACAGAGACTTGCAGAAAATCCCCCTCAGTAAGAAGCCTTGAGCTTGTCTCTATTCTTGGAACCTAAAGAAACCCTTCTGGTGTTCCTCTTTTCCATTCTTTCTATCCGGAGGCCCTTGAAAAATCCCAAGCAGCCTCTCAGATGCATTTTTTGAGCACTTAGAATGAGCCAGGCCCCACAGTAAGTGACTCACAGGTACTACTTACTGGATACTGATAATCGCCCTATAAGGAGGTCCTGTCTTTACCATTTTACAGAAAGAGCAGCCAAGATTTGTTGTTATAACATTCTTGAATATGTGTCATGTGCTAGACACTCTGCAGAGCCCTTACATGCAGCAGTGCTCCACTTAACCTCCAGGAATAAATTCCAAGGCAGTTTCTCCCATCTTATACAAGAAGTGGGGGAAAGGTTGAGGTTGTTAAATAATTTGCCAAAGCCATCTGGGGGAGGCAGTGAACTTGCATCTGTCTGATTCTAAAACTTGCTACACACAGCACCTCTTCTGTTTTGCTGAGAGGGAAACCAGGTAACATTTAGCTTCCCCTCCTCTACATGGGGAGAGGAGGGGGTATCACCCTCTTTGCTCATATTAGTCTATGTTGGGATGGAGCTGAATAGGGGTGGGTATTGAATAAGGCTCTTCACAAATGTTGCATTTCCCCTCCTTCTTAGAAGAATTGATAGAAGTGCTTGATAGAATTGTATTTCCCCATCCCTTACACGTTAGACACAGCCAAGGAACATGTTGTGGCCAAGACCAGTGACTGCAACCAGGACATAATTTCCCACATTCCCCTCCCTCACCCCAGTGTCCAGCCACACTCCTGATGGGAAGGTCCTGCATCCCTGAGTGGGGCCGATGTGGAGCAGAGACTCCACCAACCCCCAGCAGGCAGAAATTAACTTCTGCTGCTTTAAGTTACCAAGATTTGGGGGATCTTTTTTACTGCAGCATAGCCTAGCTCATCCTGATTAATACATGTGTGAACATGATCTGCTTTCATCCCTCTGGCTGTTCTCAGGTATAGGAGCCAAATTATCATTATTTGCCTCCATCAGACAGAAAATCAATCTGATGACTCCTGCTCTTTGAGAACATGAATTTAAAATCTGTCCCTAAGCCTGTTTTCTAGAAGTTAAAGAGAGGGCAGGAAGTAAGGCAGAAAAGCCACTGCCCTTGCAGACATCTGCCTTCTCTCTCTTCAAATACATCCTTAGTATTACTCCTGGACTCTTATCTCATTAACAGATAATCACTGACTTTGGCCCCTGAGCAGAACATCTCCATAAACCACCTATTTCCAAAGCTCACATTCCCTGCCACTTTTTGGCAGAACTTCACAAGCAAAACCAGACCCAACACTGCAATTGTCCCCCTTTTTCTCTCCAAGGAAGCTAATGCGACAATCAGGGAATGGCCGATTCCTCTGGTTAACCTGTGATATCAGGAACAGGCACCACCATCAATTCTAATGCGATGCATGATTAATACATACCATCTATTCAAGAGAGGCCACCACAATGGGGATGATTAGCTCAGCGTGGCCCTGTGGCCTTCCGCCTGGCCCCAGAAGAAACTCAGCTGCCAGAGGAAATCTAAGGATTCAAGTGGAAGAGGGAAGGAAAATATTTTGTCTTCTGGAATGAAGAGCTCACAGATATGAGAGAGCTTCCAGAAAAGTCAGCAAGAGGCAGTGGCAAGCACCAGGTGACCGAAGGGGCCTGAGAATTCCTGTCACCTGAGTCTTTATAGTGACCAGTGAGCTCTCCCTCACCTTCCCCCTAACTCTTTTCTTTTTTATTTTATTTATTTATTCTATTGTGCTAAGATCACTTAACATAAGCACTGCCTTCTCAGCCAGTTTTTAAGTGTGCAGTACATTATTGTTGTTGACTGTAAGGACAGTGCTGTCAGGCAGATCTCTAGAACTTATTTATCTTGCATAAATGAGACTTCATACCTGTTGTTTGGAAATTTGCCATTTCCTCCTCCTCACCCCCCAGTCTCTGGCAACCACCATTCATTCCACTCTCAGATTCAATGATTTTGACTATTTTAGATACGTGATGTAAGCGGAATCATACAGTATTTGCCCTTCTGTGACCAGTTTATTTCAGTCTGCATACGGTCCTCAAGGTTCATCCATATGGTTGCATACTGCAGGATTTCCTCCTTTTTTAAGGCTGAATAATATCTACTGTATAGATACGCCACATTTCCTTTATCCGTCCATCTATTCAGGGGCATGAGCTACCACCTGACCTTCCCCCAAACTCTTCCTCTGACTGCCAAGAAGCAAACAAATCTCAGCTTTTCTCTCCTTTGCTTGGAGACCTGAGATCCAGAAAGCCAAACCCAGACTCCTTTCTTTATACAAATCCAACCTGGGGAGGTTTCCAGATCCATGAGACATAACTATCACATACCTAGCCCCCACGGGCCCCCCTAATCTGGCCCTTCACATACTTTGTGTCCCTGATCCTCTTGAAAACCCAGTGAAGCAGGTGGAATTAGTCCTAATTCAGGAGATGAATCTAAGACACAGAGAGGTTGAATAACTTGACCAAGGTCACACTGCAAGTAATAAAGTGACTCAAACTCTCTGTGCCTCAGTTTCCTCATTTGGAATATGGCAATGATAATAAAACTTACCTCACGTATATTTTGATAGGTATTTTGGTGAGGATGAATGTATGAAAAACTTCTGGAACATGCCCGCCACCCAATGCAGGAACAGGAATGAGCAGT